CCACCTGCCCTCTCTCTCCTCCTCTCTCTCTCCTCTCCCTCTTCGTCTCCTTATCCCCTCCTCCTTGCGCCCTCTCTCTCTCCTCTCCCTCTTTGATCCTCTCCCTCTCCCCGCCGCCCCACTGCCTTCATTCTCCTCTCGCCCACCGCCCCGCCACCCTCTCTCCTGTCGCCCGCTGCCTTCATTACCAAGAAGTTGTGGGTGGATCAGTTTGAGACCGTGTGTTCTTGTGAGGGGGAGGATTTAAGTGAGGGGATTTCTGAGGTAAGTGAAGAAGTTTTCGCTTTTAAGGTTTATTGATTTTTAAAACCCATTCTTTTACACTGATTTATTTAAGTGTGGGGATTTCTGAGGTAAGTGAAGGGGTTCTTATGTGCCTTCCGTATCTACATTTCTAGGGCTAATGTTTTTTGAAAAGCAAAGTGACTAATCTCAAATGCGTTGTTCAGTGGAATGCCAGAGTGTAATCTTGGCCTGAATGATAGAGTGCTTTTGGAGGCTCAAGATCGGACCGCAAAGGGGAGAGCCATAGATCTGGATGACATCAAATTCCACCAGTATGTGGCTTAGTCTTAGATCGCAATTTTCATTACTTTTTCCCCGTACATCAACATTTTTTAGGAAATTTGCGATCTCATACATCTCAATTAATCAGTACTCAGGTATGCCTTTTGATTTCTGCTTACTAGTGCTGTAGAACTACTTTCACATGTAAAGTTCCCTAAAAGATAGGATCTTAGATATGAACCAGTTGTTATCAAAATAAGCTACAAAATAGAATTTGTTTTGGTCAAAAACAAATGCTATATGTGATATGAACAGACTATGTTTTGGTCAAAAACAAATAAGCTATATTTGATATGAACCAGTTGCCATCAAAATAATGCTATATTTGTTTTGTCAAAAACCTCCAAGTGACAAATCTGTCAAGCATCTTTACAGACCTAAGAGCAACACCTCCAAGTGACAAATCTTTCTCGGTTGGATGTGGTTGTGGTAATGGTTAAAAACACAGACTTATCTTACGCTTAGAAACAAAAACTAAACTTCCTTGAATCTGTTGAGTTAGGGTTGCCAGTGAAATCCTTCCTATGCTTAGCCTGGACACTGCACAGTGTCACACAATATGTTGAATTTATCAGAATTAAACTTGAGAGTGCTACTTGATGAACTGCCTGGTTTAGTATGTCACTAGGTGAGCCATTTTGTTTGTGAATCCTATCAGTTGGCTTTTTAAATTGTACGCCATCAAAAGTGGGGCCATAATTCTCACTGAAACTAGAAACTATGTCATTAGGCTGACCTTTCCTCGTCTGAATCCAGCTTTTACAAGAAGTCCAGATGGATTGTGTTGGAAGATATAGATGTCTTTGTTTTATGAGGGTCCCAATTCTTCTTTGTGTGGCTCACTTTTAATCAATATTGATTGTGCAGGAGTATATGTTGAGGGTAGAATTAAGCCTCCCCAGCCTAACTTCTGAAGAAGCTACATCAGAGAAGAAGGCTCCTGTCCGTGTAAAGTTTGAGATACCATATTTTACTGTATCTAGAATTCAGGTATTCTTTTTAGCCATACCATATTTTACTGTATCTAGAATTCAGGTATTCTTTTTAGCCTTTTTGCATAATATGATTGTGGTTACAACTAAGCATCTGCTTAAGTCACTTAAATTGTATTCTTCACTGCAAACTGCTGGTTGTTACTGGTTGATGACAGATTTATGGTAACCTGCTATATAGGCGTTCGAGAGGCTAATCTTATTGTTTGTCCTCATGAAGAGAAAGAATATCGAATTATATAACATCAGCAAATGACTAATGTTAATTTAAGGAGGGTTATCAACATCTTCTTTGTAGCTTTGGTTTTTCGAAATAATCTCCATTATGTCTGCAGTAGATGGATGCTTTCAAGAATTTACCTGATAGAAATCGTGCATGAGAAGAGCTTTTGCTAAAACTCTAGCAGTTTCTTGAAACCTTGCCTTGACTATGAAACTTTATTCGTTTTATGCATCATTGCTTTGGTATTTGATAACATTCTTTAATTGTTTCGTCCAATTCTGTATACTTACATAGCCCTATTTATATATTGAAGGGCTGATAAATATGATTGGCTCAATCCAACATCAATTTTGTAGGTTTGGTACCTGAAGATTATTGAGAAGAGTGGATATCAAGCTCTCCCATGGGTGAGATACATAACAATGGCAGGCGAGTATGAACTGAGAGTTATGTGAAGCCTGAAGATTATTGAGAAGAGTGGATATCAAGCTCTCCCATGGGTGAGATACATAACAATGGCAGGCGAGTATGAACTGAGAGTTATGTGAAGCATTTTCCGTGTGGAGATGTTTGTTTATATAAAAAGCCAACACCAGCTTACATTTGCATAAGAGCTTTTGAACGTGCCTCTGAACTTGGTACGAACACCAGCTATTATTATTTCCATCGAGGGCAGAAGTTTCACTTTTTCTGCTACCAGTTAATGCTATCCGACATATGTAATAGCGAACAAGCAGCGAAGAACATACAAGCATACATTTTTTGGGTGGTTAATGCCCTTGTTTTGTTTTTTTTTCCTCCCTTGTATCATGAGTGGGTTGTATTTTTGTAACTCCTAGTTTATTCACATGAGACTTGATTATAACTTGCGTTTGTGATCATTCTAGCATTTTCACAGTAATACTGCATAATGTACAAGAATCATGTATTTATGTGTATGTCGTGAATGTAATATATAGTGAATTAACGTTTTAAAAGGTTTTTTTGCGGGGAAAAGAGCAATCTGTATGGAAATTTCGTCTGGGTTGCTATAGTAGCTACAGTAGCAACCTAGACGGAATTTCCGTCTAGGTTGATTTTCGTCTAATTTGAACAACATAGACGGATTTCCGTCTAGTTTGCCTCAAACTAGACGGAAATATTCTAGACGGTTTTTTCTAGACGGATTTTCGTCTAGGTTGATCAATTTAGACGGAATTTGGAGCAACCTAGATGGTTTTTTCCGTCTAGGTTGCACGTTTTTCTACTAGTGATTGCTAGCTTGTTTTTTGTAAAAACCGTTGGTAATTAATGCCAAGTTTTCTTCACAAATCTTGTTATCAATTAGGGCCCGTTTGGTTCATTTCTTTTGCCTTGGGTAGTGGGCAGAAAGCCTGCCAAAAGTACTCTTTTGGCAGGCTTTCTGCCCACTACCCAAGGCAAAAGAAATGAACCAAACGGGCCCTTACCAACGCTTGCGAAACAATGGTAATTGCCAACGTTTTGCGAAAAAACCTTGGCAATTGCCAACTACACTTGCCCTTCCAACAAACGTTGGGACTTGTTATAACAACATTTTAAAATGTAGTTGGGTGTGCTTTTAAACATTGTTAATGACTACCTTCTTTTGTAGCATGTGGCTCTTCAGCTCGAACAATATGCTTCCCTGTATCTAACTTGAGCATCAACTGTAATCTCGATCCCTCGAGGATTTCATATTGATTGGTGTTGCCTTCATTGGCTAGGACTTGAACGTTAAAGACAGTCTGGGTTGAAACTGGATATCCTTCGTATTTTCAATTTTCTTCTTGATCTCAAGAACAGTATCGAAAAACAAAATCTCTATTTTGAACCGTTTCCCGCTTGATGTCTCAATGTCTACATCCATTTTTGGGAGTAATTAGCTTTTTTGTTCTTAAGAAGTGGCTTTTAAAGATATTGCACCGGTACTCGGCGTGAGAAAACAACGGAAGGAAGGCATTAGGTTTTAGAGGGAGCATCTAAGATTTTCTTGTGAAGAATATTAGAGTACTGCTGTTAAATATGATTTCCTGATCGGAATCAAATTATATAAGATTTTCTTGTGAAGAATATTAGAGTACTGCTGTTAAATATGATTTCCTGATCGGAATCAAATTATAATATTTAAATACATCTCTATATGTAATGTACTGCTGTTAAATATGATTTCCTGATCGGAATCAAATTATAATATTTAAATACATCTCTATATGTAATAAAAAAAAACTAATAAGTATCTTATCTTATTAATGACGGGAAACAATGTAAAATACTCAAATTATTATCTTTCTTTATGCTTTAGAAGGTGTTTGGGGATGCTTGTTTTTTGACCAAACTAGCTTTTAAGCTAGCTTTTTTATTTCTACCTGTTCGGTGAAATGCCAAATAAGTTTGTTTATAAGTCCCATTTTAAAAAGCATAGCGCAGCTTTTGAAAACTAGCTATAAGCTCACTTTAAAAAGCAAGGTTTGGCCATCTACTAAAATAATTTTTATAGCATTAAAGCCAAAAACCATTAAAAGCTAGTATAACTAATAAACTTCAAAAAATAAGCCTTTCCAAATACCCTTTTAGTTATAACAGAATGTTTCAATAAAAGAAATTTAGACTTTTCAATCTTTTATAAAGTTGTAAGTTACAGGTTTGTTAAGAAGCTAGAGTTTGCTGGAAGAGTAATTATCTGCCCTTGAATATCCAATACAAATTATGCAATATATAAAATATTAATAGATTTAATTAGTGCACATATAAATTGGATATCATATCTATAATTGTTATAGTATTTTTAGAAATTATTTTTTTAGATCATGCACTGTGATAGTCATTTGCTTGGAGATATGATCTAACTTAGAGATTTCTTAAACTCGTGCTTAACATATAACTAGTAAATAATGACTTAGTCATAACAGGTTATTATGCATGACACCAACATATGAGATGTAGTGATGGGTCTCAATCCTGGGAATGGGGATTTCACAGGTGTATGTCATAAGCACATATTGCGAGATGTGTAGCACTAGACTGCATTTGAATTCTCTAGGACGAGTCACTTAAGAGATAGAGAATTCAAATTGTTACATGGTCTCTTTGACTTGATGATATTGTTATTTTCACTTTAATAATTTAGTATAATTTGATGTGATGGTTAATTTTATTTAGCAAGCGCTATACAACCAAAAACGTTGGGTTGCTAGATTTCATTTAGAAAAATAATGGATATCTAAATAGAATCCGGTATGCTTATTATGATGAGTTAATTTATTATGCATTCCCATGAAATTATTAAATTCCTGTTAGCAGGTGATTTTAAAAAATATTTTTTAAAATTTATTTTCTTATAAAATAAAATATTTTGATGTTTCAAACTGATTTTTACTTATGTTCATGAGAATTACAATTTAGGTACGAGCAAATAGATAAATTGTCCTGCTCAAAAATTACCTACAAATAAATGTACTTGAGGGGACTTGTTTGCATCGAAAATCTTTTTTATTACGAAATCCATTACAATTGTTTATCAATTGTAGATTCAACAAGAAGGAGCCTTTTTAAAATAAATGAGGACTTCCTAGAAACACACGCAGGATCGTTTATCGATCGCTGCTTGCGTAGAATCTTTACCTGTGCTGGGGACTCGTTGATCCGTGGACTGCCAAAAATCAGATCCGGTTGATCGTGAAGAAGGCTTATCGTTCTTGTTCCCTTATAGAAACAAGAATGGAAGTAAATATCTCAATGATACAAGATAAATACCCTTCTCAAGATTAAAACAACAGTATGATCTTGAGAGAACATGTGACAGGGTGCAGATCTCTCCAAAGGTTCTTCTTTATGCTTAAGAACTCACCAAGAACTCGCCAAGAGATCTAAAATTCGTGGCTCTCCTCTCACAAGGTCAGCAACTCGTCTCAAAGCTCGAAATTACCGCCGCCCTGTGTATAAGAGCCCTAGGGATGTATTTATAGGGCTTCGGATACCGTGGTCACGGATAAGAATATATCTTCAGTTAATAACAGCTCTCCAACATTTAAGGATAGCCTCGAGGCAGTTAGAGAGGCTCCGGATTGAACGAATCCTGCAAATCTATCAAAATTTGCATCGTCGGAAGACTGATCTATGCGAAACACCCCTGTGTGTTTCGCACCTATGCAAAACACTCAGGTGTGTTTCGCACCTGTGCGAAACACTCAGGATTGTTTCGCACATAGTACGAAACACTCTTGGGTGTTACGCACATAGTGCAAAACACTCTTGAGTGTTTCGCACTATGGGTGTGAAACACAGTGTTAGTTGTGTCGTTTCTCTATCGTTTTGTCGTTTTGCGTATTTCGTACGCTTCATCGACTTGCTTTGCTTCTTCACGGCATCAGATGATCCTCTTTAGACTCTAATAATGGAATTCATCGTCTTCTCTTCATCTCGAGCTGTGTACGGTAACCTATAGGTAATTTTTGATGCCTACAGATACCCCCTCCAAAGTGTTTCAGCCTCATTCTTTTACAGAGGAGTCTCAAATACTTTGGATATGGTAGGCCCAGCCTTTAATTCTATGACTTCTTTAGTTTTTAATCTATTCAGTATTTTTTTTGAATAATCTAAAATTCTTCTGGTACTGTGTTTATCGTCTGATCGTTGTCAAAATCTTGAACTGGAACTGGTGTGTTGATACGTGAATTAACTTGAGTCGTTAAGTTAACGTTGAACTGATCATCTTTGTCGAGGAATTATATCTGAATTGCATTTGAACTCTGTGTGTGGGAAATAGAATTATCCCAAGCCTAATTTTGGTGAAATTTGTCAGGCGTTGACTCCCGCTGCGGCGTAAACATAGTTTATACTCGTACATAGCTAGAGTCTACACAGTTTAAGCTCTTAAGGTGTTGGAGCATAAAGGAGCATTTTATTCTCGTATACTTTTCGGAGTTTGGGAAGAGCAAGCTGAGAATGCATTAGAGACTCACCACATTGAGCTCTTTGTGCAAGATTTAATTGTAGAACCAGCTATTGGTACCGATACAGCTACTATCTCTGAAGCTACCCTAAGTGCTCGAGTCACGAGGCTAACTGATGAAGCTGGTGTATCAGTGACTATTAAATCAATGTTATGGAGGAGGAGGTTACTAAGGCCTTGATGTAAAATCCCAAAAGTTTGAATAAATTATAATAAATGGTAATAAATATGTTATATGGTTATAAATAACATATTTTAATGTTTGAATATGCTAGGGATTGATTTAAGATCAATCAAATGTATATATGTGAATATAGATGAGAAACATGCATGAAATCATACACTATATACACGAGCCTGAAATCTGTGGTTGGACGAGAAAGTTAAAACCAAAATACCAAAGGTTACCAGTCAGACTAGGTTTCCTGGTTCGGGTCAAACGGGTTTATTTCGGGTTTACCTCTATAAATACATGTGTTTTTTTATGAAAATTCTTCTCTTTATCATATATCTGAATCCTAGCAGCCACCCTCTAGCCCTCAAAAACCCTAGATCAATTTCTTGTGAGTTTTGTGAGCTTTGTGAAGCAAAATACCAACACGAGGGTGAGATCATCGACGTGTAACAAGGAAGAACGAGTTGTTTGTACTTTTGGATTGCTTGTTGTTCATTTCAGAGGCTTGCACATGAGATTAAGGCATGATCATCTGCATTTAAACCTTACCCATAGTTTATAAACATGTATCTATGAAGTAATATGACAGATATGATGATTAGAACTTAATCTAATGTGAAAAAGGTTAGATTTTTTATATTAAACTGTAAACAAATGTTAGATCTACATAAGTTTCTTGTTGTTTACATTAGAAACATGATCACGATCATTAGAACAAATGTTAATTTCATTCTTAATTTATTAATTAAGTTTAACCCATGTGCAAACCCTAGTTTGTTAATTAATTAAGTTTTCTTG